AAAAATCTTGTAAATTATTGAAGTCCTGTGAAATTTTGCCAAGAATTTTATTAAAGTTTTTAAAAATAATTGAATTTCGTAAAAGAATTGTATTATTTATAAAGATAATTGAAATTTTGACGAGAATTTTAACAATTTTTGAACATAATTGAATTTTGGTGAAGAATTTGATTATTTTAAAGATATAATTGAAATGGCCAGAATTTTTTTTAATTTTTAATATAACTGAATTTCTGCGAAAAATTTTATTACTCTTGAAAATAATTGAATTTCTAGAATTATTTGTAACTTTTTCAAAATTTAATATTTTTAGTATTTTTAACTAAAATTCTTTTATCAATCTAGTATTTATAAAAATTGTAAAAATGATTCATTAAATAATTTATAAGTCATAATTTTATGATACTTCTTGTAAATTTATGTTATTTAAAAAGAAATTATTGTCTAAAATAGAAAAAATTCAAGGTTTTGTATTAAAATACGTATAGTAATTTCATAGTTTACGAGGCAAAGAAAAAAACATCAAAATTTAGTTTCCTCATGAATTTTTAAAATTCAATGTTTGCCAGTACTTTTACTAAAAATCCCTGACTTTTAATAAATAAAACACAAAAAGTAGTATAAAAAAATTGTGTAATAAAATTTTAATAAACATTATAACCACCACGTCGGTTTACTCCATTACCGGCATTATTGTTCCCACCCGGCGGCTGTTGGACGACGTCAGCGGCAATAACGGCGTTCTCACCCAGCTGTGGGCCGGCGCCGTTACCGGCATTATTGTTCCCACCCGGCGGTTGTTGGACGACATCATTCCCGGCAATAACGGCATTCTCACCCAGCTGTGGGCCGGCGCCGTTACCGGCATTATTGATGTTCCCACCCGTTTTTTTTATTGTTTTTCTTGTTGTTGGACAACGCCATTGCCATTTTCATCTTGAAAAGATTTTTATTTAAATTAGTTGCATAGAATTTTTAATTAAAAGTATCCTTATATAAAATCAGTAGATATGCAAATTAGGTAAAGAGAGACATTCTAATGTTATTTACTTTCGAAAGAGGAAGAAAGCAATAGCGTTAGATTTTCTGCGTTATAAACAGAGACCGATAATGGTATTTAGTATCTAGAAAGAAGGAGACAGAAAGATATTTGAAAGATATATATATATATATGTCGTAGGCAAATAGAAGAATTCGTCATTTAGCTAAATGCCTAGGCAATTAGCTAAGCGGCGCCGAATAGACAAATGAGCTTTATTATTACTGTTATTCGTCTATTCGCCTGGAAGGATTAGGCAATTAGCTAACTGGCTAGGCATTTAGCTATTCGACAAACGCAGTTTAGGCAAATAGAAGAAAATGATATATTGAAAAAATATTTTCATTTATTGAAATATTTGTTATTTTATTTATTATTACAAGGTTGGCTCTGATGACAGCGCGAGTTGCATAGTTTCCCTGACTTGAAACACTCTAGAGAGTAATAGAATTATTATTATACTAAATGAAATTTCGTTCTTACATGTTCCTCTCTAACATTTAATAAAGCTATTAAATTTATTTTGTTTCGATTATTGTTTACAATTTATCACGATGTGTATTTTTGTACACGGAAAAAATAAATTTAGCAGATTTTACGGAGTCGCGGATACAGCTTTTTACGAAACTGAGTTTTGTAAAATGTAAGGAATACACAGGCCTACAAATTTCAGACCCAGAAACGGGATAAGTCATTTCCGATGTAATTTGTCACCCTGAATCCAAAACTGGCAGCGAAATTGCTCTATCACGTCTGGATTCTGAGATATTCTAATCTAAAAGAGTAAAAAAGGCCATTTTTGGCAACATTCGACTCTCAATAAAATCAACAAAAATTTTTTTTTATCATTCGAACAAATTTTAAAGAAAAGTATAATTATTCACCTTTCAAAATATTCTACACCTGATCCGATCCGACTTTTTTTCACTAAGGTATAACAATTTAAAGTTTAGGTTACACGACCTAAAAACTGAAAAAACGAATAAAAGAATAATTGGAAAGGACTTTAACTTAAGCATCTGATTCTTAATATTTTGGATTCGTTGATTAGAAAACCGATGTCGGATTTTCAAAATTCAAAATGGCGGATCCAATATGGCGGCTGTCAAAATAAAAAATTGATCGGATTCGCTTGAAACTTTTTACTCGGGGGTTTTTAAGGTCGCTAATTACGAATCTGATGTCACATTTTCGAAATTCAAAATGGCGGATGTAATATGGCGACATATTTTTAAAAAATTTAACGGATTTGCTTGAAACTCTTCACTCGGGTGTTTTTAAGGTCGCTTATTACGAATCTGATGTCACATTTTCGAAATTTAAAATAATTGTGGATCTAATATGGTATTATATGTTAGTAAAATCGAAAAACGTGAAATTCGAAGTCTTTGGCGTACTTGAAAAAAAGATTTCCACACCCATAGATATCTAAATTGAGAAAAGATGTATTTACAGGTCTAGATATAAGCAAAGAAGTGATTCTGTAATATATTCTAAAAACGAAACCAACTATACGAAAATCTTTTGAAGAAAAATGTGTAAAGGTTCATAAAGAAAAATAAAACTTTAAATTTTCTTTACTAAAAGAGTGTATAAATTATGCCCTAAATGTTTGAATTTTACGTTCTTCGATTTTACTAACATATAATGCCATATTAGATGCACAGTAATTTTAAATTTCGAAAATGTGACATCAGATTTGTAATAAGCGACCTTAAAAACACCCGAGTGAAGAGTTTCAAGAAAATCTGTTGAATTTTTTAAAAATATGTCGCCATATTACATCCGCCATTTTGAATTTCGAAAATCTGACATCAGATTCGTAATTAGGGACCTCAAAAACCCCCGAGTAAAAAGTTTCAAGCGAATCCGATCAATTTTTTATTTTGACAGCCGCCATATTGAATCCGCCATTTTGAATTTTGAAAATCCGACATCGGTTTTCTAATCAACGAATCCAAAATATTAAGAATCAGATGCTTAAGTTAAAGTCCTTTCCAATTATTCTTTTATTCGTTTTTTCAGTTTTTAGGTCGTGTAACCTAAACTTTAAATTGTTGTACCTTAGTGAAAAAAAGTCGGATCGGATCGAGTGTAGAATATTTTGAAAGGTGAATAATTGTACTTTCCTTTAAAATTTGTTCAAATGATAAAAAAAATTTTTTGTGGATTTTATTGAGAGTCGAATGTTGCCAAAAATGGCCTTTTTTACTCTTTTAGGTTAGAATATCTCAGAATCCTGACGTGATAGAGCAATTTCGCTGCCAGTTTTGGATTCAGGGTGACAAATTACATCGGAAATGACTTATCCCGTTTGTGGGTCTGACAAAATTCTAAATTTTGTAGGCCTGTGATATTTCCGGATAAACTTCAAAAATATTCAGTATAAACTACGAAAGTTCTGTACTTTATCCTGAAACATTTCTTACATTTTATAAAACTCAATTTCGTAAAAATCTGTATCCGCTACTCCGTAAAGTTTTGTAAAATCTGCTAAACTTATTTTTTCCGTGTAATATTTATTAAGATATTAAACTTATTTTCTTTCAATCTTCTGTTTACAATTTATAGCTCATATTTAACGGAAAATAATGCAAATAAGACGTTCCAATATTTCAATAAATGAAAATATTTTTTCAATATATCATTTTCTTCTATTTGCCTAAACTGCGTTTGTCGAATAGCTAAATGCCTAATCCTTCCAGGCGAATAGACGAATAACAGTAATAATGAAGCTCATTTGTCTATTCAGCGCCGTTTAGCTAATTGCCTAGGCATTTAGCTAAATGACGAATTCTTCTATTTGCCTACGACATATATATATATATGACATTCCACGTCAACACGGACAGAGCTCTAAACAAAAATTGCTTTGATGGATTTAAACGTTCTAGGGCTTAAAAGATTTCTACGTTCATGTACTTTAAGATGCCGATGGGAGTTTTTTGCGAAATTCCATTTCCGATGCCAATAGAACTATCAAAAGTCAAAAGGTCCAAAAATCTCAAAATACTTTTATGAATTAAAAGCAAAAAACGAGGTAAATTATTCTGTAACTCATTCTTTATCAGTTTTTAGGGTTCCCGAATATAAATCTAAAGTTTTTTTTTAAAAATCCAAAATGGCGAATTCAATATGGCGGACAAAATTCTAATTTGATCAGATTCGATTAAAACTTGCTACTCGGGGGTTTTTAGGGTCGCTGATTACGAATCTGAAGTCACTTTTTAAAAATTCAAAATGGCGGATCCAATATGCTTTTGGGGTCGCAGATTATGAATATGAAGTTACTTTGTGTTTGAGACTTCAAATTCATAATCAGATACGCTAAAAACCAGCGAGTAACACTTTTTAATTAAATCTGATCAAATTAAAAAATTTGATCCGCCATTTTGAATTTCTACAAAGTAACTTCATATTCATAATCTGCGACCCCAAAAGCCCCCGAGTAACCTAAAAACTGATAAAGAATGAGTTACAGTAAGCTTACTGCCGGCAATTAGATGAATACACGACGAAATCGTTCACATTTCTCTATTTGCCTAGGCAATAAGCTTAATGCCCGGCAGTAAGCTTATTGCCTGATGAAGATTCGTCAATTAGACGAATTACATTAGCATCCATTTGCAGTGCACAAACGTCATATAAAAAATTAATTAAAATAATAATAATGATAATAATAATGTCGTTCTATTTTCTGTCAATCAGGTTTAAATCCATCTTTATTTATATAAAACAATTGTCAAAATAAACATAAACATAAAAATTTTTTTTAAATAATTATAATATTATTACATGATTATTTAATTTTGCAGGGATTTGAATGATGGCATCGTGAGCCACATATAATTTTTGCTTTAAAACAAGAACAGCGTTTTGTGCAACACTGGTCTTTTGTCTCTTTGCAGTTACATTTTTTGTAACCCTGTCCACCAGATTTTGATTGGGCTGCTGCAGCTTCTCAAAGAGTAAAAAATACATCTTTTTGAACATTCTCAATATTAAATGGAGTTGCTGCCGATTTTTGGAGTTCCGTCCTACAAAACCAACCGTTAATAATGCCGCTTTTTGTCCCTACTTGGTAAACTCCATTTCTAAAATCAGTTACAACTCCGAAAATTTTATTGAAATCTAAGGGACCTCGATCTACACTTGGTACTGACATAGTCACGCAGTCACCAATGGACAATGGAGGAAACAACTCTTGAGAAAAAGTAACCATTTTCTCAGCAGCTGCTTTTTGCCTCTTGTTACAGTCGTCTTGAACCTCAAGTAGATGTTTTCCTCTTGCACATAAATTGCAAATGAAACTGCCTACATCTACTTGATCACCACATTGAAAGTGTATTTCAGAGTGGCAATCTGAACAAGATACTGCATCCATTATGTCCATTGATGAGTGACAAATGCTGCAAAATTTTTGTGGTCGCGTTTCTGTCAATAGTTCATTATTATCGATTTCATCCTGACTTTGACCTTTCGACAGAGTTTTACTTTCATCTTGAGTCTGCACAGTTGAAATAGCTTGATCCTCTTGATGAATATCGGGTTTTGTCAAATTTAAAAGGTCGATTTCCAGTTCCTCTTCTGTGTTTAAGTTTTCTGCCACGTCCTGAGGTAAATTAAAACTTGCTAAGCCATTCTTCACAGGTCCAAATACAGCTTCATATGGAGCTCTGTTGATTGTTCGATGTTTTGATGCATTCTTCATCCACTGAAAAAATATTTATTATTAACAATAGTTCTGCTTCAACAGAAAATTATTTACAACTACACTCACAGAAATTATCTATTAAACATAATAAATAATAGATTCATTTATAAAATAATATTAGATAAATTTTATGATTAATAATAAAAATAATAATAAAAATTAAATTATTTTTTTATGTAAATAAACAATATCCAAAAATTTAAAAAAATCCGTTTATGATAAAATTTTTTTTAACAAAAGGAAAAAATAAATTTCAAGTTACTTACTTGGACTTCGTAGCAGCCTCGGGCCCACTCTATTGATTTATTGTCTATTATCCACGCTCGCAACATATTTTCTACATCGCCATTAGCACGTTCGACGCTTCCTTGGGTTTGTGGATGCCGAGGACGTCCATGTACCATTTTACTGTGCAGCCAAATAGAAATAAGTTCTCTGACTATATTTGCAGCAAATTCTCGTCCATTATCGCTCTGTAAAATAGCTGGTGCCCCAAACGTGAAAAAAATCTTGGACAGCTCTTCTGCTACATTGGAGGCATGTTAAGATTTGATAGGTCGTAGGTGCAGGAACTTAGTGGCATGATCCTGATAATTCATCAGCCACTTGTACTCTCCATCGGGACAAGACTGAAAGTCGATTAAATCGACTTGACCGCGGGCATTAAATCCGTGGGAAATAATCGGCTTCACCACCACCCCTTTTTTGGCAACAGATTTTTTTAAGTTGCAAGTTTCGCACAAACTAATAAAAATTTCACATGCAATCCTGGGGATGCGCCATTTCTTTTTCATATAGTACAGCATCCTATCTCGACCTACATGACCAGTTTGATAGTGTGCTTCCGTAAGTTTTTCGTAATAATCTTCAATCGGGACCATATAGATCAGATCGTTATTTCCAGAACTGCGTTTTAAAATAATATTGCACTCTGATCCAATTCGCAAAATTTCGTACGTCTTTGAAATATGATAAAATGCAGGAGTTTTTTCACCTTCATTGCTCAAAATTAACTGCACTTGTTCGAATTGTTTTTTATCCCACTTTGACCTACTTCCATTTTGTAATTCCATCTTTTCTTTAAATAATCTATCAAATTCACAACGATTCACTGAATTATTGTTTTCCATTATAAACAAAAACCGAATTACAAATTTCCTTTTCTTTAATTTTTCAAAATCTAAATTTTAGCGTAAATGACGGTTTTGACTTCTATTTAACGACTGCGAATTTAAACTGACAACTTTTCACTAATTACAGTTTAGAATCTTTAAATAAATGTCTATAATTACTATAAGTACATTATTATAAAGACAATACATTGAATGTATTGAATGAAATGATTGTTTTGAATCGAATTAAACTTTTCGACGATTGAAACTTATAATATGATAATAATACTTGTAATATTTTCTAGAATATTAAACAGTCTATTTTATTTATTTATAAATTGTACTTTTAGTATATTTATAATATACAATAAATTAAATATTAAATATTAAACAAATAAAAAGTTTATTAAATTATGAATAATGTTTTAATTTTATAGTTTATATTTTATTTTAAAATAGAAAGTACATAACATACATATAAATAAATATTTCTATTTGCATGTTGCATATAACTTATTTAATTAATTTTTTATGGGACGTTTGTGCACTGCAAATGGATGCTAATGTAATTCGTCTAATTGCCGAATCTTCATCGGGCATTAAGCTTATTGCCTAGGCAAATAGACAAATCTGAACGATTCGTCGTGTATTCGTCTAATTGCCGGCAGTAAGCTTTTTTTTATTTTAAATAAATAACTATATTTTTTTTGTTATTTAAGTTTTTATGTTCTTTATGGTAGCTTTTTATAGCGAAAAAAATAATTTATATACGGTACTATACGTAATATTTTTCGAATCAACAATGTTTTTATTATCAACATTCGGTTTTATTTTACCAAATGAAGTGAAAAATATTTTTATAAATATTTTTTTTTGTGTTTTAAAATTAAAATCATTTTTAACGGTAAAAGAAACATTTACTTATGAAAGTTTGATAATTAGTGGTTTCTTTTTAACAAGATTTTCTGACTTTTTTTCGCTTCTCACTAACATACTATGAACCAAATTCATTCAATTAGGTATATATTTTTTTAAATGCAGTTGAAGTTTTGTTTACATATAAGTACCACAAGTTTTCAAAATTTTGAGTAAATGTAGACAGTTTATTACTTTTTATATTAATTAAATTGATAAAATTCAAAAACCAAGGTCATTTTTTGTTAATTAAATAGATCAGTAATTCTTGATCCATCGAGGACATAAATTCAATGATTGATGATGATATGCGCAATCCTGATTTTTTGTTAACCGATTCTGACCATGAAAATGATAGAAATATCGACGAAAGTAGACACTCTGATAACTCTGTTGCTGTTAACCTGACTGATAATGACATAAATGATGATATTTCATTCAAGGAAACCTCAAACGATGATACATCATCCAGTGGAACATCAAATGATGACACATCATCCAATGGAACTTCAAATGATGATTCACTAAGTGACATTTCTAACAATGATGAGGGTGAATCAGTCAATTCTATTGCATTCTCAGATGATGATTTTGAGCACTCCGAAAATGAGTCTAATGCGTCAAATGATGATGGTATTAATCTATTTTTTTATAAATGTATAAATGCAGAAAAAATTTGCGAATATTCCAAGTGCTCAGTGTTTTTATTTTTCTTATTCAAATAAATAAAATTTTGAATCTCAATTTTAATAAAATATGTAAATTACCTTATTCATTTCAAAAAATAAAAATTTGATACTCATTACATTATTTATAATCAATATTTAATTAAGTAAAAAATTGTTAATTTAACTTAGATTATACAATCTGTCGAAATATATACAAGTTATCGATTGAATTAGTTTTTAAAAATTAAAATTAAAATTAATTGTTAATATTTGCAAACTTTCACAGATTAACAGATGAAATTATAAATAAATAACTTATATATTTATAGATAAATAATATTTAAACCCCCCACTCCTGGGGGTGGAAGTTTCAAGCTGTGTGTGACGAAATCTAGAAAAAAAAATTTTTTTGTATATAAAGAATGTGATAAAGGGAGGATGAACACTGTCCGAAAAGCGTGATGTAGATGAATGTGAATTTTTTTTCAATCTTGTTTAATATCTCTCTTATTTTTTAAATTCTTTTATTTACATCATCCACAATGTTTTCCTCTCAAAAATGTTTATCATTCCTCATTTTGCTCTCAAATTCGTTTAATTTATCTTTTTCATTTTCTGATTCTCAATCTTTTCTTTCTTTCTCTCCTTTTTCTCCTTCCTCTCTTCTCAACCATTCCTATCACATACAGCAGCCTAACTATGCATGAATAATGCTCCAATTCACAGTTCCACCTTCCCAAATCCTCTGTAGTTTTTTTTCTCGTATCATCCCCTATCAAATGATCTATAAAAGAGTTCTCAACCGCCTCTTCAACCAGTTCCTCCCTCCTCAAATTTACCAATAATTTATTCCCATTTAGTGAAATACTTCCCCACCTAGCTAATTTTCCTTTCCCCTCTTTTTTCATTACTGCTCTTTCTATTACTTAGTTTTTCGCCTTTATTACTTACCATCTTTTCCCCACGTTTTCTAATGGTAATAATTATTTATTCCATTACTAAACATTGTCTAAATTAGTTCAAATTAATTTAACATGCATGAAAATTTTTCAAAATTTATTAAAACTCAATTACCTTATTTCGGTACTTTGCGCATGGTTTAACCAAATTTCAGGTAAATATATTTTACCAACGTTCAGAATAAAACATTTCTTTCTTTAAAAAATAGGAAAAATACGATTTCTTTGCTCCCATACTTTTCCCATGTTTTTGCCAAAGTTTAGAATAAAAATTTTCATTCTCTCAAAAATTGAAAAAATACGATTTTTTACTCCTATACTTTTCCCACGTTTTTGCCATGCTTTAGAATGACAAACTTTTACTTTTCAAAAATATAAAAAAATACGATTTTTTTGCTCCCATACTTTTCCCATGTTTTTGCCATAGTTCAGAATGACAAAGATTTTCGTTTCAAAAATAAAAAAATACGATTTTTTTGCTCCCATACTTTTCCCACGTTTTTGCCATGCATCAGAATAAAAGTTTTCTTTCTCTCGAAAATAGGAAAAATACGATTTTTTTGCTCCCATACTTTTCCTATGTTTTTGCCATGCTTCAAATAGCAATTTTCGTTCTCTGAAAAATAGGAAAAATACAATTTTTTTGCTCCCATACTTTTCCCACGTTTTTGCCATGCTTTAGAATGACAAACTTTTTCTTTTCAAAAATATAAAAAAATACGATTTTTTTGCTGCCATACTTTTCCCACGTTTTTGCTATGGTTCAGAATAAAAGTTTTCTTTCTCTCGAAAATAGGAAAAATACAATTTTTTGCTCCCATACTTTTATTATGTTTTTACCATGGTTCAGGATGACAAACTTTTTTGTTTTAAATTAGGAAAAATACGATTTTTTGCTCCCATACTTTTCCCACGTTTTTGCATGGTTCAGAATAAAAGTTTTCTTTCTCTCGAAAATAGGAAAAATACGATTTTTTGCTCCCATACTTTTCCCATGTTTTTGCCATGGTTCAGAATGACAAACTTTTTCGTTTCAAAAATAAGAAAAATACGATTTTTTTGCTATCATACTTTTCCCACGTTTTTGCCATGCTTTAGAATGACAAACTTTTTTTTTCAAAAATATAAAAAAAATACGATTTTTTTGCTCCCATACTTTTCCCATGTTTTTGCCAAAGTTCCGAAGTATGGGAAACGCTTATTAGCAATGGTTCTCTAGATTTTGCCCATGCTTTGTAAGTATGGCTGAAAGCTGATCAACTTTGGCCGAAATCTATGCCCATGGTTTTGCCATGTTTTGCTATCTTTTGCCCATAGTTCGTTTTCCACGCGGGATTTACTAATTTACGAAGTATTCACTAATAATTCACTTATTTAACTTTATATTCACTCACATATAGTGAGTGAATTCACCAGTGAATTATAAAGATTTTTAAATTTAATTCTCGTTGAAGACACGAACGTATCCGAAGGAAAATAATCTACGATATGATTTTTAAATTTAAAAAATATATTCGTTCTTATATTTAGATGGTGGGCCCTAAGCGTGAGTGTCCTTCTCGCACTCGTAGATAGCAAACACAATTTTAAAATTACTTTACATTGTTAGGTCAGATGGCAAACTTCACCTCATCATTAAGTCTGCGCGCGGAAATTGTTTGACAAATTTTGACCTCTAGGTCAAAACTGCCCTCAAACTTGACATAAATTTTAGCGGGAATTATTTGTCAAATTTTGATGCGTAGGTCAAAAATGCCCTCAAAATTGACCTAAATTTTGAGGGTAGCGGGAATTCTTTGTCAAATTTTGATGTGTAGGTCAAAGCTGCCCTCAAAATTGACCTAAATTTGGAGGGGAAAACTATAGGTCAACTCTTGACCTGTAGGTCAAAAAATCTTGAAACAGCGGCGGCGGCATCTGCGGCGATATCTTTTTGTAATATACTAGGGGGGCTTCGCCCCCCTGCGCGCCTCGCGCGCCAACCCCCTATTTTTATTTTAATTTTGTTATAAATTGAATATTGGTTTTTAGCCAAATTCATTGAAACAAATAATTTCAATGAATTTGTTTCCAAGATACACTACGGGGAAGTAACCAATTTCGTATCTCAAAATCTAAATAAAAAAGAATTAGTCATATCTTATATAAAGATTCTATAAAATGATAAAAAATGGTACAAAATCACATTAATGTTTTTATAATAATAAAATTAGGTAATTTTTACTCAAAAATTTCTTTCCATACAATATTACTTATAAATTTTGAGTTCTCATCGTTTTCATTATTTTGGTCGCTGCACTCAATAAATAAATTATCTGGATTTTTGCATCTAGATAAAGCTACATATAGTTGTCCATGAGAAAATAAAGACCTGTTAAAATAAATTCCCAAAGTTTCGAAACTTTGACCTTGGGATTTG